ACCAGAGCCTACTGACCTGCTATCTCCCACAAACTCTTTCTTCTGGACCAGCAAGGAGTTCTGGATGGAAACAGGAACACATTGGCTATGGGCTCCCTTTTCGGAACAACCACAGATGTTTCAAGACGAACAGGCCTTGGGCATTCTGGATGATTGCTTCAGATTCTGGAGGCAGGCACTGACCCTGGTGGTCTCTCCACTGGATGGTAGGCTTGGGGTACCAGCCACTAGAGCTGCATCTCAGCTGAATGCCTCCTTCCTTGAAGCCCTCAAGGGAGATATAAGGGTCTGAGCCAAATCCTGGGAGAGGCGGGAGGAGTGAGAAAGATCAGGCTACTTCCCTGAAGGTATGCCAGAAATCCATGGCACCATTCACCATCTGAGCCATTTGAGGTCACTGTATTGGGAACTGTGACTGCTCTTCATGTGTGTGGGCTAGAAGTCCCCAACCATGGATAGTAAATAACAACTTAGATTAGCACTGGTATTCAGGGGCAGTACTATCCCTGAGGGTTGTTCGGAAACATGGATAGGGGCTATACATATTATGCAAGGGAAATATACAAGGGGTAGCTCCCTAGAATGAAGAATTACCCACCTCAGATTCCATTAAATTGTCTTCTCTTGATTCTCAGTAGAGTTCAAATGCCTGGTATATATACTCCTTTGTCTCCCCATTCTATCTATCTATCTATCTATCTATCTATCTATCTATCTATCTATCTATTTTTTGCAGTGCTGGGGATTGAACCTATGGCCTCGTGAATGCTAGGCAAGTAGTCTACCACTGAGCTACACTCCAAGCCATATATTTTGAATTCGCAAAAGATTATTAACATGGTTTAACTGTTAATTCTCTACATAATGCATATTAAGAAAGTTTTGAGCCTTTCTTCATCCTTTTTATTCACACACCTTAGGCAGCCGGTTTCATTAGTTTCTGGTTTATTCTCTTTTTACAATGTTCCTTCTTTCTTGTACACAAAAACATACCATCAAACCTCTTTCTCATCTTGATTTTTTTAAAATCTTAATAACGCATCTTAGGAATCATTTGCTCATTGGGTTCCGTCTCATTTTTCTAGCTGCAGAGTATGGACTGTTCCATGTGTGTATGAACGACACTCAGCTCCTATGTGTGGTTATTTACAATTACAAATAATGCTACAAAGATTAAGTTTACACAAAAGCCTTTCTTATATTGGAGGTATCTGTTCAGGGTGAATTCCTGGAGGGGTAATTGCTGTGTCCAGGAATAGACACACAGGCAATCCTGTTAGCTATCGCCAAATATCCCTGCCCTGGACTTTGAGCTTTACCAACAAGATAGTGGCAGACTTGCCACTCCGTGCCTCCAGCCTTTTTTGTTGTTGTTGCCTTCTTGCCAGTTTTAGGCAAAAATTATGCGTCTTTATGTAGCTTTAGTTTGTCTTTCTGTCACTATGGGTAAAAATGGTCATCTTTTCATAAAAGGTCCTTGTGTATATTTGTGAAGTATTTGTTTCTTTTTTTTCATTTGAAAATGTACCTATCGCTCCCTTTTTAATAGTGCTTTTTTTTCTTCCTTCAAATTAGGGATATTCTCCATGATTCTAGTCCTACTTGAGCAAAGCATCTCTGTCCAAACTAACCCTTTTCTCCTTGTCCTCTGCTGGTGCTTGGCCAGGGCACGCACCTGCTACCTCCAGCTCCCAGATGGCTTCACCCGAGAAGTCGCCAGACAGAAAGCGGCACCCGTAGGGGCCCTCGTCGGAGGGAACCACGCGGCTGAGGTGCAAGCTCACGCTGCCATCTGCTATCTCGTCCGTGATGAGTTTGGTCCTGTTCTGGAACCGCGCCATCTGCTGGGCGAAGAGCTCCTGCCGCTCCTGGTAGAGATGCACCACGTCTGAGGCATGGCTGCGGAACCACCGGATCTCCATGTTTTTAGCATCCTGGTATGGTGACAGGTGGCACGGGAACTCCACTTCTTCTCCGAAGAGGGCCAAAATGGACTCCCCAGGGCCTATTACTTTCACCTCCTCTAGGAAGACAAGCAAAGAACAAGGGGCAAAATCAACTCTCTTCAAATATATATTTATCTTTCCAAGTCAGACATCCACAGTAAAATATTCAAATGACAAAAGGAAAGCGTCTATGAAGACAATCAACCTGGTTTCTTGAAGAAGTAACTGCCATGACAAAAGTGTGAGTACAGGTTAAACCGTGGAACATTACAGTCAGACACAATGTGTAGTGCTGGGTTGGTCATTGGTTTGACCCAACTGGGTGCAAATGTTCTTTGAGGGACTGAGTGAATGTGGCTGTGACAGAAATGAAATGCAGTATTTGTCCAAAAAAAGCAATTATCAAAAACAATATGCACACAGGACCTTGAGGAAAAATTTGCATATTTGCCTAAGTGTGCAGAGAAACAGACATGGAAAGAAGGACACCAACACATGGGAGTGGATATTTCCTATTTTTGTTTGTCAGATTTACCAATTATTTTTTCAAAAAATAATACACATGTACAGTTTCCATAAAAAATAAAAATATATAAATAATCTTTAAGGGTTTCCTGATCCTTCTGCTGTTGAGACTTATGTTGATCTTTCATTTAATCATTCCCTTCTTCCATGGTGTCTCCATGTGGTCTCTCTGCTCTCCCCAAACCAGTCCTTTTTGCTTTTAGTCCTGTTTCCTTCTTTCTAAGTTCAGCCAAAATCTGTTCCTAGAACTCAACCCTGGTAGATCCTTTGTCATCTTTCACTTTGCCCATAGATCATAGGTATCTTTCTTTGTGCCATTTGGGACACATGGTTTTCCACTGGTTGTATTCCCAACAACTTCCTACCCTCTTCCTTTTCCAGGGGTACCCTCAGCTGTCTCTCCCACACACCTGATTTCTGACTCCCTGGCTACACCCTGCCTCAGTTTTCCCTTGATCTGTCAACTTCCTGGAGAATGTGCATCTCACAAGGTTGCACATTCAGCACAAACAGCACCCCTTCCCTATTCCTGTGCTTGGCTTTCCAGGGAGGGAGAATTGCTCTTATTTATACTTCGCTCTGCTCTCAAAGTCTTTGGATATGGTTTTCTTGCAGCTGTTCATGTCACATCCATTCCCTTCCTTTGACAAAGAGCTGCTTAAGGATCTGGGCTATGCCTCAGTCACTCTGATATCGCTGGTTCCCAGTCTAAGTCATTAGTTAATCCATTTGCACAATTAATTTACAGCCTCTTTTGGTTGCTTCTTTTGTGATAGACCTATGCTGAGAAGTCTCTCCTGCTCTTCAAAAGCTATGAAGATTGAATTAAAAATATTTTTCCAATTGCATCAGCACAAATACAGATCAAAAAAGAGTTTCCTAGTACCCTTTTGTCATTCTTCCTGCTGTTCCTACCAGGAAGGCTCCTGAGAAGTGTACAAGGGATGCTGAGGACTAGCAAAATGGTGGAAGAGCACAAAGGCGCTGGATGGTGCTCAGGGGCAGTGGCTCTTTAACAACTGGGATGGAAATCATTATGTATTTTAGCAGCTGGCAGAGGATGTGGGCAGAGTTGAGACACTCACATCCTGCTTGGCAGGATTGTATATGATTGCAGATCAGACACGCTACCTGAGATGGCTTCCTCAGGCTGAAGGAAGAGGAGAAGGTAGGTAAGGAAGAAGAGACTTCTGGGAAGAAGTCCTGGCTTCAAAAAATTCCAGGGATACTGGGAAATCTGCCATCTGTCATCAGCAGAGAGAGCCACCTAGAGAGGGATAAAGCAATGCTGGTTTAACATCGGGCAGGCAGCTGGACTCAGCCCATCAGGCCTGAGATCGATTGTTGCCTCAATTATTTCCTCCTGACTTTTGAATTTCTTACCAGTGCCAGTACCTGGATTTTTTTAAACCATGACCGGACATGAGAACTGCTTCTAATTTTACCTCAGGACACTTGTCATTGACCTTGTTCAAACTCACATTGCTGCAAGAGGACTTAGCTAAAGGGTCCCAGAGGAAGCAGCTTCGGAGGTGTGTATTATTTAGAGCCAAGAATAGAGCCATACATTGTGGGGGGGCTCAGCATCACCCTTCTCCAGAGTTAGTGATGTTCCCCAAACAAAGGGAAATCTCTGAAGAATCTCAGATGCATTTTTTTCTCCCTTCCTTACCACTATGACCCAAACTTGGTTTTCCTTCTCTTTGCCCTGGAACATCAGGTCCACAAACCAGAGGAACAAACACAGAGTTCTGTTCTTTCTGAAATGGAGTGTATGCCTGGTGGCCGCCTGCCAACTTCAATGGCATCCTGGGACACTTTCATGCAGTCCTGAGACCTCAGGTGGTGATTACAGGGGTCAGTTGCTGATCACTGTTCTGTGTTTACAGCATCTTTGAGGCCCCAGTCATGGAGTCATCCCATCTAACTATCCCTTCTTCCACCTCTGGCCAAGGGGACCCAATCCCAACCCCAACAAATGCCATCCTTATAACTCTAATGCCCCCTTGGGTCCTGTGGTAATATCTCACAGTCTAGCAGTCAACGATTCTGGTGTAATCAATGCATCTTTGAATTCATATTTCCCCTGCAGTTAGTTGTAGGATTTAAGGCACACTTTTTAACTAGATAAACCTTAATCTCTTTGCTTGAACAATGGAAGAAACCAGTGCCAACGCAGAGGGTTGTTAAGCCTTCTGAAGGTTGGCAAAATACTCTGTAAATAAATTCAGCACCTCCTTCTTCCTTCACCTTCCAAACATCTGTTCTTCATCTTCTTCCAGCACTGCCTCTCTCTCCTTTCTCTCTATCACAGCAACACCTCCTACACACCCCAAGGAAAAGGTCTGCAGTGGGTTCCTACCCTCCAGCACCCTTCAGTTCCTCTTTTGCTTTCTCCCGCCATCATCCCTACTGCGTGGTTATCCTTCTGCAGACCCCCTGGTGTCCTACAGCCACAGAGACCCAGTTACACTGTCAGCAGTATCATTGGTAAGGTGCCAATGAAGAAATATAAAAGCTGTTGGGTCATGCAACAGAACATCTATCAGAGGGAAATGAAGGATGGATTTCTGTCTGAGTGTCCCATGGGCTGGGAAGGACCCAGATTGACAAGAATATAGTGTGAGAATATAGTCTCAGAGGTCTGAGAGATGAGTATTTGAGGTAATGGAAGCACTGAGCTCAGATTTAGAGGTGGGGCGTGGTGAAAGCAGAGGAACATGTTGGGATCCAGACATGCCTGAGATGGATTTCTCAGATGGCGGAAGTCTGAGACCTCTCTGGAGGGAGCCTGGCTTTTTAGATGGCTGGAAGTTATTGGAATCATTATTCACAAAATAACCAGCTTGGTCAGGGGTCAAGGCTCTGGCAGAACGATCTGACCTCTGGCCCTTTGTGGCTGATAGCAGGAATGTGTGTGTCTGTGCCAGGCCTAACCCACAGTGAGGGAATCCAAGCCCAGGCCACATTTTCTGATGTTCTTTGTTATTTCTTTATCTTCCCTTTTGTGCCTTGTTCTTTTCTTCTAGACTCTAGACATAGATGAGATCCCTGCTAAGGCAGAGCCACAAGAGCATATCAGCATCTAGCTAATGCCTTCCAAAACAAGAGGGGCTCAGACGGTTTATGGATCCATTTGGACAGGCCCCATTCTGAGGAATTAGTCAAGGCTTGTATTAGGTGGTAAGATGGCTTCTCCCACAAGGGGGTGATAGGGCATTAGACATGCCCCAGGTTGGGGGTCAGGTGGCCTCAAAAATTGAGCATTTGCTCTAATCCCAGACCAGGAGGCTGCTATCTCTCAGAGGGCAAGTAATTGGGCCAGTGTGTTCCAGGATATGGACTTGCTAGAGATTCACAGTTACTTCTCTGTTGTTCTACACCCATGTGATTTCCATCACTAAAGCTAGAGGAAAGGAGGTTGTAAACACACACACATACACACACACACACATACACACACACACACACACAGTAACAAATATTAACACAAATTTAGCACTCCTCTCTACCAAGTACTTACTATGCCATAAGTATTATTACTACTATTGTTAATAAGTGTGAATTGTGGATAAGGAAACTGAGGTACAGGGAGCTAAGGGACTTGTTCTTGCATACACAACCAGTGGGTTATAGAGTGAGATTCCCACCTAAGCTGTTGGCTTCAGAGTCTTTGTCTGTCCTTCTTCCATACAGATCCCGTGCCACCTGTGTGTGTGTTAGGGCTGTGTACACCCAGCCCTGGTCAATTCTATAACCATGATGTTGTTAGTAGCCACCTGACCTCAACTCCAGCTCACACTGACCAACCTCACAGATGCACTAAAGAAGAGGCTGGGTCACAAGTCATCCAGACACACAACCAACCAACCCACTCACCAAGCACCAGGAAAACAAATTTTAAAATCTCACAGACAAAACAATTTAAACCATAGTGTTCCTAAGACCTTGTCAATAGCACTTTTTCAAACTGGAGGCACACATGCTTACTCTCTTTGTTCCACACTCAAGGACATTGCCTGGAAAGCTTTTAATTGAAGGTCAATGGTAAGGCAATTTCCTGAAGGGAAGAGTTAGTGGCTCCAGAGGGGCTGACAGCCGCTTCATATCCTAAATAGCACCTTCCTCCCCACTTGCTGCCTGAAGTCTGCTATTTCCTACCTCACTCTCTAGTTTAAAAGCTGTGCTGGTGGAATCACATTACACCTGCTGTCCTAGGAGCCCTGGAGCCATTCACTTCTGAAGTCAGATCAGAATAAACTTGTACACACTGAAATGCTGCCAAACTCCACCCACAGAAAGACAATTTCTCATGGTCCCTCTTTCTCTTTCTTCATTCCTTTCCCTCATGCTCTCCCTGTTGCCCACCTGTCTTGTTCCTATTCTTTCCTGCTGCATCTCTAATTCCTAAAACAACCCCATGTTCTCTTGACTTCCAGTCCCTTGGCTTTTGAATCTTTCTTTAAAATTATTATATTTTGCATTGCTATTTTTACAAACTGTGTAATTGGTGTTTTTGCATTCTCCTATCCTTTGTCCTAAATCATAGGTCCAAAGAGGTAGATGGGGTTTTTCTACCTTTCCATCCTCCCCCTGTTCCAGCACCCACTGCAGTGCTTTGACCTCCAGCAGTCACCAGTTATTACTCTTACCTACACCACAAGTATTGTGATTACTAATATTAGCAAGTATGAGTGACACATAAGGAAACTGGCCTCATGGTTTGGTTTCGATAGGCTCATAAGAGACCTTCTTAGTCTCTAAGGGAGACGAATCACCTCAGAAGGCGAGCCTCCAAAGGATGAATCCTTTTCATCTGAGGGAAAAGTGGAACACATCCGAATTCCGCCTTCCCAGTGGAGCTAGCCTGAATGAGTATCTGCCCTCAGCCACACTTGAAACACCCCATCTGGCCACCAGGCTCAGTTGTTAAGATGACACCACCCAGGGTATGGTCTCCCCCAGAGCCTTCCACCATCATTTTCTGCTTTTCATTTCTGAAAGGTGGAGGTTAAGATAGGTGTTGAGAACAAGCCACATACCTTTCAGGTAGCAGCAAAGATTCCAAGTGGCAGATAAGTCCTGGTGATCTCACTTTCCCTGCAATGGGGATGATTGTTGTGAAGTGGGCTGGCAGCTAAGTTCAGGGAGACGGCTTATTTGTGACAAAATTATTCACCTATCTTCCACCTTAGGACATATGCTGTTGGCTCAGCCCTTTGCTATAAAACCCAAGAAGGATAGAACAAAACGAGGAAGTCTCCGTCATATCCTGTCTCTGTGAGGAAAACCCACAAACTAAATTCCCATGGAAAATGTCCCTCCAGGATCTTAGAAGGAGGACAAAGATAACTGAGAGCTTTACAGAGCAGAGTGCAAGCTGCAGAGGCACAAGAAAAGGCTCAAGTTGACTGCCTAGATCTCTGTGTAGGCTGAGGTGGGGCTCTAGGAAAACAGAACAGGTCCCTGCGTAGCCCCACTTTCCTCACAGTCACAGGGAAAGAGAGACAAGACTGCATTCTGCAATAAAGGTTGAGAAGGGGCTTATTCTCAACTCACAATTCACCCAGCATATCCTTCTCTGCAGAGAAAGGCCAGCAAGGAAGCATTGCCATAAACACAACCTGCACGAGCTGTTCACGTAGTTTGGAAATGGAGCAGGACTTTATATTAGAATTGCTCTAGTGGAGCAGAGTTCAAAAGAGAAGTAGGCCATGGTATGACTTTGGTGCATGTGGGAAAAAAGTGAAGTGGAGTGAGCTCCAGCCACCTGACTGAACCACTCACTGACTTTCTCCCTTGGGGTAGTTCAGAGCTGTGGCACAGGACAACTCAAGCACATGCAGGACATGCCTAGGGACTCCCTGAAATGCCTGATATTTGTAAAGATGCCTGTGAAGGTGCCAGAGATCTGCATATGAGGAGGTTGAAGCAAGTTGTGGATACAGTCTTGAAGGTGACTGCGTTCAGACAGGTTAGTGAGGGAGAAAACTTGGGCCTACTGTGTGCTTAAAGATGTCTCTAGGGCAGCAAAAAGGGCTGAATGAGGAGACAGAGGAAGGCTCAGGAACAGATTAAACTTAATGTGGCCACTGAATAAAGAGTATGATCAGGGAAGTAGTAAGGGTGAGGGGAGGGGGCAAAGACATTCTCAGTGGAAGGGAGGTGATTAGCATATATTGGGAAAAGAAAAGGCCATGAGAGAAGGCTGAGAAAGCAAAAATGAGGGTTGAGAGGTAGAGATGAGACAAATAACTAGATGAACCCTGAAGATGAGGGAAAACATTTTACTTTATAAATGCGAGAGAGGAGTGGATTCCCCACCTCAAGTCAACCTCTCCTGCCTGTATAATTTTTCCCTCAGTGCTGGGCTTGCCATGTCAAATTTATGAAACTTGCATATAAAAAGACAGGCTGAAAAAAATAGATTAGACTAAGTTGCTGAGGACTTTGACACACAGGGAAGTGGAACCTTGCTCTGTGGGGAACCAGAAACCATTAGAAATTCAAAGGACCTAAAGTGATTCAGAATTGAGAAGAAAACGTGCAGTTGTAGAGAGGACTATTAGGAAACATTAATCCTAAGATTGCCCTTCCTCTGGGTTCTCCCAAGCTGCCTGGGGAGAGGTCAGAATGCAAACAGAGAGTAATTCCTATGACTCCCAGACTAAGCTAGGAAGATAACATCTGCCACTGCTTGCTCATAGAATGCACTGTCCAGCAGAAACTAGAACCCCAACTGTTTCCCATCACACCTGCTGCATAAAGGCATCTCCCATTCCAAGGCTCCAGGAAACACAGAAAGCCATATTCAAAAAGCGGGTGAACACAGGAATCCCAGTGGGTTATAAGTGGAAGGGGAGGAAGATCCTTCACTTGCCCTTGGACAGTGGTTAATCCACTGCATTACAGTCTCTGCATCAGGTCATTTGGTCCAATTCTTGGTGTATGCCAGCCTTCACTATGGGGTTGACTGAGGGAATTCTGGGAGTAGGGCTCTGGAAGAATACTCTTCTCTATCACAAAGGCCATTCTCACACATAGCATGGGGGTACTAGAGGAGATGGAATACAAAATTATGCCAAAATCACAAGCAGATGAATGGATCCTTTTCTTCTGCCCAGGGAGTGTAAGATAAAATTGTGAGCACAGGGGACAGAAGTATAGTTTAGTGGTAGAATGCTTATCTATCATGTGGAGAGGCCCTGATTCAAGCCCTGGCACAGAAAAAAAATGCAAGCACAGAGGCTGGATTGAGTTGGGGAATCCACTCCTTTCTTAAGTTCATAAAGTAAAATGCTTTTCCTCATCTTCAGAGTCCATTCAGTTGTTTGTCTCACTGCTGTCTCTGCCTCTCAACCCTCATCTTTTCTTTTCCAACCTTCTCTCTTTGTATTCTTGCCT